ACGGTAAATTTTTTTTTAAGCTTAAAAAAATCACGTACATTCCTGTGCCTGTTTGTTTTAAACTTTCTCAAAAAAAAAAAAAAAAACGGAAGATTACTCCATGTATAGTATTATAGTATTATATTATATTATACTATATTATATTATATTGCTAGGTTCCAATGAATCTCGTCATGTGCAGCTCCGCTGCAGTTAATTAAAATGGATTAATTCAATTATAAATTGTTGAATACGATTCTGAATGGACACATTCTGTAACCTATATTTATAAAGATATTTTAAAATATATTTATATTGATATCTATAATTACTGATTAGTTAGTTATTTTTGTATTTGAAATACGGTATGTTGAACTAATTTTTTCAAGAAAAATTGTGCATAATATAATATAGTAGGTAATAATTATAATAATATTGTTTCATATTAAGCTATCATTAACTGTTTTAACTTGTAACTTATTAGTCATTCCTTACTAAGTAAAGTTACAATATGTATTCAGGTTTTTTCTTAGATTTTTTTTTTATAAAATCACGGCACAAACCATATGGTTAGATTATTACAACAATCATTTATGTCTCTTTAAACGCAAAACTGGGTTATATGGTAGTGAAATTGTAGTATGATTCGATATAAATATGTTTGGGTGAAATTTAAATTTTCAAATGAAATATATATAGGTGTATATCTATTTATAGTTTATACTTAAGGGCGTTATTTTGTTTCTTATTGAAATATATAAATAGTGCATTCATCATTCCGACAATCTACAATAAATTATGTTTTTATTTAACGAAATAAAAAATTTTTTTTTTATTTATTACAATTAAAATGTTTCAGTATATTATTATGCATGGTATTAAAAGTTTCAGATTATAAATAATAAATTGGTGTATCCGTGTATCTATTTCTGGTTATTTTTTTCTATAAAAACAATAATTTGTACTAAAAATAATATAATATTTAAAACCTATAGAATTCACATTCTAAATTAATTAACTTCACGTGACTATAAAATGAACTGATTAATAACTAAATCTGATGGGGTGACAGGAAACAAAAACAGTAAGAGTAGTTACGAAAATGAACGTTGAAGGGAAAAGACCAAAAAAAAGATTGTTGGATATTATTGAGGATGATATGAGAGCTGCATAGGGGATGAGGAAAATCGAAAAAAGTGGAGGTGTAGGAAAAAGGTGGCCGATTCCAAATAGTTGGCAGGAAGGAKCTTTAACTTTTTTTGACTGGCCAATGCACAGCTTTGCTGATTAAACGTAGTGGTGCATGATGGTATAATATCATATTATACTGCACTGATCATTGTCGCAATAATATGTTATCTCGTCTAATATGTTATTTTTATTGATCTTAATTAACATCGGCGACAAAGGCCATTAGTTATAATTAGCGATTACAATTTTTTTTCTTTATATTTTATTGTACACTTTAATTTTGCTTATAAGAATTTGAGAATTTGTGTGATGGTGTCTGCGTCTGGTCCGAGTGCTGCGTCTTATATGTGTTGGCTGTTGKGTATGTTGAAGTTTCTGTGTTCATCTGTGTATTGGAAACATTCGGTGATACATGGTTGACTGTGAGTTTGGTTCTATAAGAAGTAGGTACACTGTGGTTTTTCTCCTTATTATGATAATATCATTATTTAGACGCGTATTCTGCTCTAAATATTTTGGTATTTTTATTATTTTCAATTTTTCGCACACATACATAAAATACTAATTATAGGTACCAATAAATTACACATAGCGTTCGTGGTATGAAACAAATTGCATTTGAATTGTACCTTATCGTACGCGATACTATAACTCGTTCATATATGTTACGTATAGGTATATATTAATATTATATTCGTATCGTACCTATTATATAATATCTGAACGATGTATCCATTAAGAACGAATGTACAGCAGCAAATATGTATACTAATAATATATTATAATGGGATTAGAGAGACTGTAGTAGAGCCGAGTAAAGTAAAACCATCAGACGTCAGCCAAAACCATATTATCTGTAATATCTATATAGRTATATTTTAATTTATAAAATATATAAATGTATATATCGAACTGCTTACCTATCCAAAATAGAACCTACTACTACCAACGCGATACGCGTTTGTCGGTAAAAAATCCACTAGTGTATGTATGTGTGTGTGTGTGCGCGCACGCCGCGATCGTCCGACCGAAACTCGACCGCGACCGCGACTATGACTGACACGCAGGCTGCTGTCTTACGAGACTACTATAATAATTATAACACGACTTTAATGTTAATTACAAACATAAATATTCCACCCGTTTGTGCTCGACCCAGTCCTCTGACGCCTCTGACGCTCGTCCACCGCGCATAATATGGTCCGACTACGTAATACACATACGCGTACCTTTATACTTGCACTSCACACATACCGATACCTATTCACGACCATTACTTTAATAATACTATCATCATTAGGTAGTACATGTTATAGGCTGCAGGTCGTCGCGAGGATATGGTGAACAGGGATTCGGATCTGTAATAGGATCGCGAGGTTTACATTTCGGTATGACGGTATATATGGTCTTGTGTACCTCAAACTCATACGTCATACACACAAGATGATTTTATAAATGCAAATTACAAAGCCAAAGACGTAGCTAGTTTTTCGGCTGAAGCCAAATTATATAAACCAGAAAACGGCAATTATAGTTACTATTTATTTTTAAACGACTCTTAAGAGTAATAAAAAAAACTAATATCAAAACTTCATAATAATTTATAAAATTTTACTAGTTTTTATTTTGAAATAGAGTGAAAAATTATTATTAATAGCCAAAAGATTTTCTTATCACTAAAAAATGATTATTACCGCACTAAATTTTCCAAAATATTTTGAAAATGTTATTATCTTTTAATCAAATGATGAAAGTTTAAACAATTTAATTTTTTTTATTTATTCCTAAATAAAATATAATACACGTCAAAGACTTTTAAAATATGCAAGCAAAATACAATTAATTAGGTTGGCATTTTTAAATTTATTATTCTGCTACTGTGAGTTTTTAACTCAAAAACAGTAAATTATCATGTCGGTCAAATTGTTTTCGAATTTATTTGTTGTTTATAAACATGTACCTACTTTGGTGGGCCAAGCCGACACTGCTACGCCGTCCTATGCAGATATGCATCGCTATAAATCTCGGACCACTATTATTCGATGTTCGTATTAATCGGCCGACGAGTCGTAATTCTTCATATTATTATATGGGTATAATAGAAGCCACCCGCGTTTGAAATATATATAATATAACTTTCTTTCCATGTCATCGTGTTCGGAATTATTTGTTAACTATATAAAAGAGACAAATTAATACTTTCGTAAACTATCCGCAGACTTCCTTCATCGATTGAGTTTAATGGACTCATAGCTGCTGTTTCTGCATAATTTCGTACTACAAAATACGCAGGTCATATAGCATATAGTATTACTATTATTATCCTATAGACATAATAATAATAAATAAAAAATATTATATTATTTTACACAGAGTGATCGCACACGATTCCGTTTTTCACTGCAGCGATAATATATCTTATAATATTATAGGTACCTACGTCGTCGGGCTCCAGCATTGGGCTGTGGTGCGTGCAGGCCACAACAGCAGGATAAACAAATATAATATATTACAGGTTCGAGGAAGGTCTCCGTCGTAGTCGTAAAGCGAATTCGTGGTTGGGGAATGGAGGGAAGTGAAAAATGTGGTATGGATACGTCCGGTCCACATATTTTTAATTATTATTGGAGTGCGTGCGAGCCGGTAAATAATGTAATGATACGACGACGTGAATTCAGTACTTATGTATGATGTAATAATAATAATAATACAAATGTATAACATAATATATTATATTCATTTTATTATATTATTTACATTGGTGTACTATGCGATATAATAATAATTATTATGTATAGGAACGCGATATGATTGACGGACCCGCTGGTCCGCCGCTGCCCACGTTTTTTCGGATGCGTATTTATTTATTTTTGTTTTCGAAACGACTATACCGTCCGATTATAATATAGAATGATTATCGTCGATTTCCATCGCTGCGTCTGCAAGTGTCTGTCGACGTTTTTAATTATGCCCACACGAACTCGACGACACACCATTCGTGCATATTGCGYATGTAATACGTATATACGATCAACGGTGTAAGCAGTACCTATAACGTTATATGTATCGTATGATTACACTAAGTTATTTAAAAATGAATTGTTAAGTATTGAAAGGAGACTTCTGAATTTTTTTTWAAAATATTTTTTCTATATTCTTATAAATAATAAGTTAGGTTTACCAAGATAATTTAATAAAATTTGTCATATTTAGACCTTTAAGACATAAAACTGTCGAAGTAGTTGCTAATATTTTGTTGGACGTGAATTTGTAAATAAAATAATATCTGAACTTTGCACTTTGCGGAAGCATTTAAAAATAGTTCACAGTTAGCCAAAACACTCTCAAAACCACGATTCAGTTTAAGAGGACGTGATACCCTCATGCGTTGTCTCTGTCTTACAAGTGCATTATATAGTAAATTTTACGTTCAGCAGAACACATGTAGCTCMGTTTGCTTAAAAATTAGAGTGAATTGACCTCTCATAAAATTTAAAGGTATGATTGTTATCTAGTCAAYCTCATATGCTTTTTATTATATTTAAATTTTAAAGGAAGTTATGAGTATTTTAAGATGCACAAAAAATGTACAATTTTAAAATACTCATAACTCGCTTTAAATTTGATCTAAAATAAAAAGCATATGAGGTTGTCTAGATAATAATCTTRCCTTTAAATTTTATAAGAGGTCAGTTCACTCTAATTTTTAAGTTAAMGGAGCTACACGTGTTYTSCTGAGCGAAAAATGTACCATGTTACGCATTTGTAAGACGGAGACAACACATGCGGGTATCACGTCCTCTTAAAGAGCAATTCAAGATGTCGACAATATGCTTGCAATATGGCTCCAAGATAATAAAACAAACAAATRGAGCAATGGATTAAGATTCGTACAGTTAATGAAAAATCGTGCTTACCACCATGATACAAAACATTCACCACATGAAGCAATGATTGGTACACCTCCTAAAACGCCGTTTTAACGTCGTCATTACTTCCTGCAAACATGTTTGCAAAATTAAAAAACGAAGAAGAACTTTAGGTTACTAAAGAGTCAATACAGATCCTTTCTAACGACGACGAAAATAAAGAAGTGAATTGTGAAATAGGAGAAAATGATGAAGATAAAATAATTGAAAAACAAACAAAAACAATAAAAACACCAATTAACCAAAACAAGAAAGAGCCATTAAATGATCTGAAAATTCAAGCCAAAAAAATGACGGAAATATTCGAAAAACGATTTTGCCAAGGAAATATTGGGAAGTCAGTTAGAATTAAAATCCCTGATGTAGATAGAGCACGGAGTGATCTTAGATGTGTTATTGGAGTGATTATGTCAAGTAATAATATAACTATATATTATATTATATTACTATTAATATTTTAAAATACCTAYACTTCAGTGAAAGATAACTTATACGAAAACGGTACGATTGAAGGAAAACTGCAACCAGTGTATAGCAGAAACGAGTTTACGATTTGTAAAGAAAAATTTGTACAAATCGAAGACGAACCGGCAAATTCAATATCATTGCGAGAAGCAGCCCGCCCCTTTTCTTATTTAGGAGGACAGGTATATGATCGATGTAATTGTTCACAGGGTTGCAAAACAAATGTAAGTKTAGAAAAGCAGACAGACTATGCAATTCTAATTTCCAAGTGCCATGCTTCTAAATCTTGTGCAAATAAATAGGCATCTAATAATAAAATAATAATTTRTACCTAATAAAAATAAAATGATAATATTTGATATTTTTTTTGTTATTCTACCGAAATATTAATAATATTAATATGGTATATGAATATAATTAATTATTGTTTAAATTCAGTCAGTATTAGTTGACAATACATCGACGCACACACACTGCGAGAAACCGTTCGGGTGCGATGCGTGTAACAAATCGTTTTCTACAAGCTCCAATTTGGAAATACATAACGTACGCACGTGGCATTCTGATCGGTTTGATCGAAGATCTAAGATCCAAGAATCATATTGAAATAGAACAAATCGTGTTAACATATAATTTTTGCACTGTTAATGTATTTTGTATGTTATAAATAATGATGAATATATTATTTATTTAATTACATAAAGATAATTCATACAGAAATAAAACAATCGTGGTTGGTCGTTGAATATAACATTGTATAACATAATGTATAGGATATAGATATTGAAACACACATCAGTTTACAGACTTGTGTTTATTATTATTATAAATWATTTTCTAATACTTTTTTAATGAACCTCGAAATACCCGCTTGATTTGTTTCAAATCGCATCGATCGGYATCTAATTATTTTTTATATGACGTCTATCCAATAAACATATCGAAAAATGTTGAACATTTTGGTATGACCAGTCAAACCACATTCAAATTAAATATAATGTGGTCTCTGACACCTTGCATTATGCAGTGTCTTCGAATATATACGTTGTCAATGTCTCTATAATAATATATTTTAATATGCTATAAAAACAACTCCGTAGGTACCTGAACAATTATAGATTAAACGGCCTCAGTCGACTGGTCGACAAAAAAAAAACACCTCCCCGAATTTGACGAGTGGACTAGGTATGTTGTAATTTTCATCGACATGCCGCATTATCGTTATAGTGGCAATCAACAACCATCAACAATCAGAATCGTATATTAAAACCGTTATTTAAAAAATATCCCATTTAATAATATTTTTTAATTTATTATTAATTATTCATTTCAATGGCATTTTGTACATAGGTAGTTTTATTTTTTTTTTCGATTGCCCGCAACGAGAAATTTTTATCCTGACAGATTCGTTGATAATAATATATTATGTTATACTTATATACTATTATATAGATACAAATGATATATTATGATGGTGACGAGTTCTTATACTTCACATTATATTATGTTTGAATATTTCTATTGTAGGTACCAAATTTGTTTTCGTCCTATCGACACATTTTCGCATAACTGCATAAATACTATTAACCTTCCATTTTGATTTTTCCACCTCCAATATAAGTTTGAATAAAAGATATTAAACATGCATTTTTGATATTACAATAATACATTTCAATCAAAACCGTTTTACCAACCAAGTTATTTTWAAAAAAATTGTCTACTCGAAATACAGGATATTATTATTATAGTCGGATAGCAGGATTTAGATAATGTCAACAGATTGAATCACTTAGAATTTATCTAACTTAGTTTCAAAATAGATAAAATATGTTCGAACATTTTACAAGCAACAAAACAGTCAAATAAAATTATAAGAACAGTAACTTTTAGGTATATAACAAAATCACCAATTTTAATTTTAAAAAATATAATATTAATATGATTAATAATTATTATTATAAAAAATTAGTATTCATTACTAGCTACTACTSATAATAAACAATAGTTATAGTAAACTAATAGATTAAGACACATGTTGTAGTTAAGTCGGTAATAACTTGTGATTAACATACACCCACATATATTATAATATATTATATCATGCAATATTTTATAAATAATAGTAATTGGTATAATGAATTATAATTATAATAACAATATTGATTGAAAAACAACGTTAGATTTTGCATATAAATCAGTGCATAAAGCTCTATTAATTTGAATTATTATGAAACCTTTACACCAAACATAATTACGTAAATTCGATTACATCTGTGCAGCATTTTTGGAGGTTAAGCTTTGCAKTGTAAGTATTTAGATGAACATTTAAATCTTATGGGTGTATAGGCCTTAGACTTTTTTTTATTCACACCTAATACCAATGTAATTGTTGGATAAGTTTGAAAGTTTGAACTATACGAGTATACTCGTGCACCATTCTAAATTCATGGACATTTTAAAACTAGCTAATAACTTTAAGTGCTAATAAGTAAAAATTGTATTATACTAAATTAATTTTAGGTGCCTTAATTCTAAATGTTATCAAATCAAAAACTCGAATTTTGATTATAGAAAAATATTAGATTAGAACATCTATATAATGTTAGATTATCGTAAATTCGTGTACATTTAAATGTTTAATGAAAAATAATAAAAAATATAGTAACGATATACCAAGGTATTAAAATAGAAGTTCATTTCGATAAAAATTTCCGCGCATTAATACTTGATCATTATTGGCTCCCTTTACGCTGCCATTTTTGTCTTTATCATCCAATATTTGATTGAGAAAGGGTATATAATATTCAATAACCTTGTATATATTTCAACCATGACGACCATTCAACCATCGCTCTCGTAGCATCATCATATTATTATATTATATATAGTTGACYTMWTCCCCCCACGCTCGGTGAAACCCGAAAGCGCAAATCAACCTTTTTTTCTCAAAAGCGCAAAATGAATTTGCGCTTTTGTACCTTGGTAGTGGGATAAAAGCGCAAAAGAAAATTGTATTGTTTGATACATTATTTTACTGACCGTGATGCTCGACGCTTTCCATGTATACGTACCGTGTACTGAAATTTCTGAAGCATTTTATGAACTATTTTCTATTGCTCCGGACAATCAGAAGATATCAGCATTCTCAGATTATATTTTAACGAATTTTATTGAAAATGACAGCAGATATCCACCACATCTCTGGGCTGAGCCACCTTCGAACGAGCCTAGGACTACCAATGGTCCAGAATCATATCACCGTCATTTTAAAGATCAATTTTATAACCCACGCCCATCTATTTATAATTTTATTGAAGTGATTAAAGAACATCAAGCAGAAGTTTATTTAAAATTACAATCAAATGGTCAAAAATCTACGAATCGAAAATCTAAAGTCATCTCCAATATAAAAACTTGGACCTTGTACAAAGAAAAAAAAATGTATAGATTGGAATACTTGAAAACAGTAGGTTTCAAGTTTCAAATTTAAGGCGTTTAAAGTTAGGTTAAAATAATATTTAAAATWATATTTTCTATTTTTACTGATTTTTTATTAATGATTTTTTGTTGATACTTGTTTAAATAATTTAAAATTATATTTTGATTTTTTGATTTTTTTGAACTAATTAATATCACTGTTAATGCTTAATTTAATATTAATAATAACTAAAATTTTAATTAAATACGCTTTTTTTTTTATAAATTTGATTTGCGCTTATGGGTTATTTAAAAGGTAATTTTTTTTGGGCTTATGGGTAATTATTTTTGCGCTTTTGGGTTGCGTTTGGGTCGTATTTTGCGCTTATGGGCTACAGCCCCCACGCTTAGTCTCTTTTTATCACTCTCTCCCCTTCAATTATACCTTATTGTCACTTATGTCTCCATAACCATAAAGTATATGTGTATAATTATGAAGTTAATATGAATGAGGGCATAATATAATTATATTTATTGATAAGCATTATGGTTATGTTTAGATAAATTAAATTTGTCAACCCACAACGAACCACGAATACAAACAAAGAACATTTTCCTAGTGGTAAGGGTCGAATCAACAATCAGATAAGAATAAAAAAACTAACAAGCGTAAAATTAATATATTTTGTTAATCTCTCGTGAAGGATCTGAGAAAAGGAATAATACTATTATTACTATTCCAATCGATTCACAGGACATTAAACTCAATTTATTTTGTAACAAATGATAGGTTATATTAAATAGGTAGTCTATAACATAAACGTAGGTACCTATATACACACAATTAACTACTATTAATATCCGCCACTGTGCGCATGCTTGAATAGTCAACAATAGAAATAGTTTGTTTATTTATTTTAATTTATTGCGTTATAACCTCGAAGAAGCCAAACTAAACRGACAATATATAATAATATATTATTATAACATATAATTTAATATATTGAAATAACAATATGTTATGTTGTGGCATTGTAAAGCGCGAGATTGAAATATTGTGATATTTTATTTGTATACTGCACATTATGCAATTTGCATTAATAAGTAGGTAGGAAGGTGTATATAATATGCGTATTATGCTGCTGCAGAGACGTATATGYAATAYTAAACTCGCAAGATCGATTTAAAAAAAAATTGTTTACGAAAATTCACTACTCTAAGAAAATAAATAATATAATTTATCGTCAAAAGAACCACACAGTCGATCTGAAWAGATAGAAATCAAGGTTGATGTGCGCGCGAGATAAAACCGCGATTGCCTATAATAAATGAAACGGTTTTAATTTATGGATCCATAGACATTTTCTATAATAATCATTAAAATAATAATTATACCATAACATGTAAACCTACGTACCTACTTCTTTATTTAAATGTAACGTTGCACACACACACACCACACATGCAAGCCGGCTCACATATTATATTTATTATATAGGTTTATCGTGTATCGTATATTATATTATATGTATATTATTATACTATATATATATATATATAGTGGCTTAAGTATTTACACACATCGCGGCCCGGCCGAGCGGATGTTTGAAAGAGAAAAAAAACGTTTATTACGCTCGTCGGTGGCGGTGCAGGTGAATATGTATAAATAATAAAAAACGGGGTATTATATATATACATTATATTATCGAGGAAACGATTAATTAATTTACCCACTGCAATGTGCACAATCGGGAATTCTGATTTTTCATTATTTTATTTTCCAAACCGATTTTCATACACATTATAATTATTACTATGCGCATTCGCGATACGCGCCCACCCTCCTCCGTATAAAAATAAATATGTGCAATATAATGTATATAGGCAGTTATATTGTAAAACTACTAAAACTTTGTCGATTTCCGCACTTAATAATAATTTATATACATATAGGCAAACGCGAATATCATTACCAACCTTTTCCGTAAATCATATTATATTATGTACATATATCTACCTCCATAAACGACCTGTATATTATTATGCGATAAAGTTACATGGGTACCTATAATAAAACAACGGGTCCAGATAATAATAATATAAAAATTTTCGTAGTGCACTGCAATTTAAAATATAGTAGACCGTTTATTACTATTATTATTATTTTCTTTATTGGTTAAACATCAACT